GCGGCATCCTCCCAGGCCCGCCTGCTGGAATCCAGGTCTGGTCAGGGACTACCCACACTTCAGGACCCCGGGTGGGGAGTCTGAGCGCCCTCCCTCCTCCAGAGCTGAATGTGCCCTCTGTCCATGCCACACAGAGCACAGCTGTCCTGCCGGGCACGCCCCCTGAACAGCCACGCCATTGTGCAGACCCTCGTTCCCGGCAGCTGTCCTGGGCCTGGGTGGCTGCGGGTGCAGACACGGCTCCTCTCTCTCCTGGCAGCTGTTCTGGCTTCCTGGGACAAGCACCCGGAGCAGGCCTCACCCAGTGCCATGTGTGTGGGGCCGGGCTCCATCCTGGGGCCAGCCTGGTGGTCAGGGCCACAAAGCTGCAGAGGGCGGGGCGAGGACCCCGCCTCCAGGCCCCCCCAGCCCGCTCCGCAGCTGCCTGCTCTATTTAAGGTACTCCCCGGCTGCCGGGCCACATTCCCTGGGTGGCCTGGGTCCCTCTCACCACTGCCTGGGCGTGGCAGACAGCTGGGCAGGCCGGCGAGGGGAGGGCCTTTCTCCTGGGCCCTGGAGCCAGACTCTGTCCTCGCTGCCCCTAACCCTGCCTCACCTTGAAGGAGACACACCTGGCCTGGCCAGTCCTCCCCACCAGCCCTCCTGTCCCCCCGGTGCATGGGGACACGCAGCTCCAGCGACAGCTCAGAGGAGTGTGCTTGTTCTTAAAGAGGGGAAGAGAAAGAGACCCGATCCCAAAGTAAGAGGAGACGTGGGTGCCCTGTGGGGCAGGTGAGGACAGAAGGAGGAACTGGGAACAGTGGGGTCTTCAGGGGAGACAGCCCAGCAGGAACCTCCTTTCTGGAGAAACTCTGCAGGTTAAGGGCTCAAGGCATGGAGAGATGCTTCTTCATCAGGCACAAGTGAGGCCGTCAGTGTTTAGCAAGCCCCTGCCTTAGACCCGTGCTGGAAATGAACCTCAGACCTCGCCCTTGGGGGCGTCACAGCCAGGGACAGGCCCAGAGCGGCCCCTACAGAATGTGGAGTGTCCTGTAAACACAGGGTGGGGGTGGGGGGCTGTCTATGGAGCCCTTGTGGGGCCCGGACCCTTCCTCCCTAAATCACATGGTGGTCACGTCTCCCCACTTCACACCCCCTGGGCTCCGCGAGGAACTCTGGGCCCCACCGTGTCCTCCCCAGTCGGGCCCAGCACATTCTTGAGATTCAGCGTCTGACACTCCTCACCCTCTGACTCAGCTCAGCCCTCGCCATCCCCAAAGCCGCCTCTGCCCACCCTCCCCTTGCCTGCTTCCCCCAGTGCTCGCAGGGAACCCTGTGCTTTGATTAACTCACTCGACCCCACACTGCACTCGCAGCCCCTGCTGTCTGTACTCAGATTCCTGCCCGTTCTGTCCCCGGGACACGGGGCCTGGTGCAGACCCGGCACCCAGGCACAGTGCAGGAGGCAGCCTGGCCACCACAGCGGCTTGGGGGCCCGACCCCCACCTCCCTCAACGCTCCACCCACGGCCAACAATGTTTCTAGAACTCTTTAGTCAGAGGGAAACTCCAGTGGGGAACTCGCGGCGTCCGCCCCCACCCTGATCTCACGCCACAGTCACAAGCGGCCCCTGGCACCCCCCGTGGCCTCCCATGTGGTGCCTGTCTCAGGCTGGCAGGCCCCACCCCTCCTTCATTTGACAGATCAGGAAACTGAGGCTGGGAGGGGTGAAGTGACAGTTCAGAACCTGTTGGCCCAGGGGGTGGAGCCAGAACACACCCAGAACTCAGCCAGGCACCACTGGGCCTCCGCCGTGGCGGCCAAGGAGCACCCCGAGAAGGCAGGGCCCAGGCGCAGGAGGGAGCGGGCGTGCCCGCCTTATAAGGCAGCCTGGGGAAACTTGGCTGGTGTTGCTGTGCAGCCTGAGGGGGGCGACTCCCCAGGGGAGGCTGAGCAGGCCGCCCTGCAGGCGCAGTCCTGGGTCCTGCAGCCCCACCCGCCCAAGGCGCCCATGCGCCTCACAGCTCTGGGGTGGAGACGAGCCACAGCCCAGACCTTTCCTGGGGGTAAAAGCCAATGGGCCGAGTGTCTGCTCAGAGGGCACGGTGCTCCCTCCGTCCCCATTCCTTCCCCCGGCAATGCCAGCTGGACCTTGGGCCCAAGGGGCAGGGAGGCCACAGAGAGCCGTCAGAGCAGTGCACGTGGGGCTCAGGGAGCTCCCGACCCAGCCCCGCAGGGGGGCGGAAGGGGACAGCCATGCCAGGTCTGCAGGAAGGATGGGCAGCAGTGAGGCCGAGAGAAGAGAAGCGATCTGTGCCAGGATCTGTGCCGAGGGACGGGACAGGCTGAGACGGGGCAGGGAGGAGAAGCGAGCGCAGCCTCGGAGGAGGGCAGGTGGGAGCTCAGGCCTTGGCCTCCACTGGGAAGCTCCTGCCCTTCCCCACCGGCCGTGCTCGGGCCCTCAGGACTGCTGGGCCCCCACCTGTTTGAGGGCAGCAGGGTCTGGGACGCAGGCTCAGACGTTTCCGTTGTATCCCACGGAGAAATCCCACCTGCCCTCAGAGCTCCAGGCTCCCGAGGGCTCTGGACACTGTGGCCTCTGCTCCAGGCGCCCTTCTCTCCCCTTCCTGGCCTGGTGAAATCCCGCCCCCTTCGCAAGAGAGCAGACAGGCCAGGGAGCTCCCTCGGCCCTCCCCGTGTAGCTCCCCAGTGGCTGGGCACCCGCCCGTCCTGCCCATGCTTGTGAGCTCCAGAGGACGGCCCCACAGGACTCGTCCCCGGGGCCCACCTCCCGGCACAGAGCAGGGACTGAGCAGCGTCTGCCGTGGGGGGAAGACACTCTTGTGCACCCACATGGACGACCCCCAACCCGTCCCCCATGGCCAGGACCATCTCCTTATGCATTTAGCACCAGCTGTCACCAAGATCTGGACGGGGCCATCGGCATTCTCCCCAGCCACATCCTGTGTGACTCAGCTGGGTGTGAACACGTCACCCCAGGGGGAGGGGTATCCGGCACATCAGACAAAGGTCCTGGACCAACAGGAGACTGAGGGGGGAGGAAACAGCCTCGGGGCCACTCTGTGAACTGCCTGTGCCTTTGCCCGACACTGACACCGTGCCACCTGCAGCCATTGTCGCTGCGTCCGGGTGGGTGGTTCCGTAGGGTCCAGTGTGGAGAGACAGGAGGTGGACGGACTCACACCCAGGGCTGGGAGGGACCCGAACGCATCCACTACGGCTCTTTGGAGTGCGGTCTGATGCCCGGAGCTGCAAGAAACGTAGAGTCCCAGGCCCCAGCCCTGCTGAGTCAAAGGCGGTTCCCGGGTGCGCGAGCCGGTGCGAGGGGTGTGGTCTCGCGCATACGCACCCCCGCCCAGGCCCCAAGTCTGCTGACCACTGGAGAGCTCCCGTTCAGAGGAAACGCAGAAGAATTGGAAACATTTGAAACCCAAGTGTCCATCAGCGGACGCACGGATGAGCATGACACGGCGCACATGCAGCAGGACGCCGGTCTCGCAAAGAAGGGAAGTTGCGACCTGTGGCACGGCACAGACGAACCTTGGAGTCACCATGCCGAGTGAAATGTCAGACACAAAATGGACAAATATCGCATTTTTCCATCTTACGGTGTGCGTATTTCACCAAAATTAGAAATAACCATTTAAAAGGTAAATCAAAAACCCAGAATGTTCTGTTTGTCCAACCCAAAGAACACTTATTGAATGTGTACCCCAAGTTCCGAGTCCTGCACCCAGAACTAGACCCAGCTTTCGAGAGGCTCATAACCCAGCTGGCACCTTAACGCAGCCCCATGGAGCCAAGATCCCCGCGGGGCTGGGGGGTCACTTTTGAGAAAGGCCACAAACAGTGTCGCACGGCCCCATCGTTCCCGAGCAGGCCCTGTGTCCCACAGGGCTGGCACCAACTTTCCTGCAAGCTCTCCATGTGAGGACAACTCTGGCATGAGCCTTCCGAGGACGTGGTCAGAGACCCTCACTTCCTTCCCCTCACCAGAAGAGCACCCCCAAATGAAGCTGTGGGTGGGTATCGTGGGGCCCCCAGTCCAGACACCCCTTTCCAGCGGCCCTGAGAATCTCCGCTTGCAAAAGCTAACGGGTTCTTCGTGTCCTCCCTGGGAAATAGGAGGAAGAGGAGGAGGGAGACCAGGCTCAGAGGGTCAGCATGAGAAGGAGAAAGACCCTCCGACTCACGAAGGCACAAGTCCCTTCCTCCCTGTCCCCAGGCCCTCGGCCTCTGCCGGGCACTTCCAGGCAGCCTGTGATTCACCCTGAGCAGGAGCCACCGGCATGTGTGAGCCTGTCTGAGGGTCTCTGCCCCACCCCGTCCTGCGCCCCGCACGAGCCCACCCAGTTCCTGCACGGCTCCTCACCCACACAGCCTCGCAGGCCCTCGCTGTCCGGGGCCACACAGCAGAGATGCCACCACGGCCCACACGGACCAATAAAGGGGCTCCTAGCAAGCCAGATTCCTTCCAAAGTGTCACTTAAGTCCTACTTGTGGCATTTAGAGTGTCCCCCGTGGACAGAGAGAGCCACAGCCACCTTCCCTGAGTCTTCGGACCCCACTCCACGTATTCTGGTCTTTCTGGGTCTCTGTGGAAGTATCCCCCACCCACACCCAGCTTCCTCCCGTGACTCCGCAGTAAAGCAACCCCCCCCGACTCCCCAAGATTACTGCTGCTCAGCGACTCACCCTCCTGGCTCCGGGGTGGGGCCTCGGCCACGGGGGGCTGGGCCCTGGGCTCCAGCCTGCTCTGCAGCTGAGACAAGGGGGTGGGCTCAGAATTCTCCAGGGTCTGGGGTGGGCTGGGGGCGGCGGGCGCCTCGGCTGGCTTGGGCACCTGGATCTCCACCCTCTTGGGGACTGCGTCGGCGGCGGGGGCGGCAGGCACCTCGGGGATCTTGGCGGTGGGGGGCTCCATCCTGCGGTGAGCGGACTCCTGGGGCTTGACGATGGTGATCTCCGTCCTACGAGGGACCGGCTCTGGTGTCTTGTGGCCGAGCACTTCGGCCCTCTTGAGGCCGAACCGGGATGGCCCAGTGGCCCCGGCGCCCTCCACCTGCTTGGACGAGATGTCGATGGACAGCTCCGTGCGCCGCGACACAGGCTCGGCCGCCTTGGGCCCCGGGAGCTCCACCCTCCGCAGGGCAGCCTTGGGGGAGCGCTGGCTTAGGGAGTCTACATGGCGGGCCGCCGGCTCCGGGTTCTTCACGCCCAGGTCCTGGAATTTCTGGGTGGAGCTGGCCACAGTGGTCCGGAGCAGCGGCGTCTGGACCCTCCGGGGTGGGGTAGAGTTGGGTGTCTCGACCTCCTCGACCTCAAAAGATCTTTTCAAGGCTGAAAAATAAAGAAAGGAGGATGTGGGTGGTGAGTGGACGGCTGGAGAACACGCGGCGTGTTTCCTGCTAACAACAGCAGAGGAAGGTAGCCGGCTGGGACGCTGGCAACGGGTCCCCCGGGGACTTCTCATCCTCCATCTCTCAACAAGCAAAAGGGACAGCTCCATTCTAGGTGACCTGCAGAGGCACCAAGAACCATGAGTTCTGGGGGGAGGGACACAGGCCAGAGCGTGGTGGGCACGGGCCTTCCGTGTTGCCAGGGCCACAAGCAAACCACTGGCCCCTCCAGCTACGTCCACATAGAATGTCCTGGTTCATGAGGGGCCTTGACCTCCTTCTTGTCGTGGCTTTCTTTCTTCCTCCTCAACCCCACCCAAGGCACATGCCCAGACAAACACCACCAGCAGCAGCGGGGGACACTTCCCCCGGTAACAGTGACCAAACCCCACAGCCAATCAGAACCAGGACAGGAACAACATCATGTGAATCCCGACACCTGCAGCTGACGCTGGAGCCTTCGCCGCGGGCAAAGCACTGGCCTTACCGGGTCACATTTACTCCGCCATAACCCTGCTACTATCCCCTGGTACAGAAGGGGAAACCGAGGCAGAGGGCGCCTGAGCAATGGGCCCGACAGCACAGAGTCAGATGCAGGGCCAGACTGTCATCGGTCTGACGCCAAAGCCCACGGTTCCAGCCACTGGGTGGTCCAGCTCCCCAGCGGAGTCTGCACACACTCACTCTCTCAGTCCTCCCGCCCCCTGCATTTTCCCCATGCGACACCCCGCCTCGTGCGAGGACACGACCACCAACTCCCGCCCTGCAGCCCGGCGTTTCCACCCAGCCATCCTGCCCTCTCCACCGGGGTCTGCTCCCTCAGAGGCAGTGGGGACGGTGCCCAGGAGGCTGCCACCCCCACAGTCCCTGCGACCACACTCCAAATGAGAGCCGGCTGCTCCGGGTTACAGGGACCAGGCGGGAAGGGGCCCACGTGGCAGGAACATTCACCAGCTCTTCCTCGGGCCTCCCCCAGCCCCTCCCCGCCTCACCAGCCCCCAGAGCCCGGGATCCCATGGGACACCACCACTTCCTGCCCTGCCCACAGGGAAGAGGGACAGCTGGTGCCCAGCCCCCACAACAGCTGTCCAGGACTGTGCTCCACACCCCCCCACTCTGGTCTCCTTTCCTCCAAATGCAAACACAGCTCCCACCTCTTCGCAGTGGACGGTCCTTCCTTTAAAAGACCAGGGGGTGGTGAGTGGTTGGGTGGGTGGGCGGCCACGGGCATCTGTGCCCTTAAGTGCTGGGGAGGGGAAGGACAGAGGGGGCCCAGCCCCAAATTCCTGGCCCCTCCACCACCAGCTTCCCAGGTGTGGTGCTGCTGTGGGGACCCCTCTCTGAGCCCTGAGCACCCCTCCTTCTTGGTGGACACAAAAGGACAAAATCCTGGATCGCTGGACTCAACGGTCCCCAGAGGCCAGGCAGGGACTGTAAATGTGGCCGGGTAGGGAGCCGCGTGGAGCCAGGGACCTCGAGAGTCATCACACGCCACGTCTCTGAGTCTCAGGGAGGCACCTGTTGCCCGGCTCCATCACAGCCCTGCAGGACACCGGCCCAACCTGGCCAGAGCTTCTAACTTCCCAAGACAGTCTAGAAATCTGGATTTTTATATGCTATCTCCTGGTTTTTAAACACTGGCACAAAGCAAAACAAACACTGTACAACCAAACAAAATCTCATCCGAGGCTGCACCACCTGTGGGCCCAGCCAGCAACCCCCAGGTGGTAATGGCCACAGGGCAGCAGGACCCTGTGCCGGGGAGTCTGGGCTCCCGACCTGGGGCAGCTGCGCCCCTCGCAGGGGGCTGTCACTCAGACAGACCCTGTGTGTGGAAGGCCCTGAGGAAGGGCTAACTGCCCACTTACACTGGCCAGAAAGTCCAAAGCTCAGGGCCCAGATATGAGTGTGTCCTCATGTGGTTCCCAGGGCCACCGAGGTCACCCGGTCTACCCCCTGCCTTGAACACACTGTCCCCAGATGAAGCGCCTCTGTCCCGTGCACTCTCTAGAGGAGGGGCCGGCTTCCGGGTGTCCCTCTCGGCATTAGTTCCTCACGGCCGAGTGGGAGAACAGAAAGTAGGCAGGTGAAGACCTCTTCCCAGGTTTGCCCCAAGAGAACAAGAAGATCCCTTCCCCAGGAGTCCCGGAGAGCCCCTCTTGGGGAGCCCATTCGGAGGCCCCCCCAGTTGCCGACTCACAATTTAAGACCCTGCACCAAAGCAAAGCTCTCCCTGGTTCCAGCTTACGGTTGAGTCTACAGAACCGATGCAGTGATGCATCCAAGCCAGACCCACATGCACATGAAGATCATTCCGGAACCGAAACTGGCCCCTCTCCCGCAACACTCCTTCCTCCAGGTGTCTGTGTGGCTCGCTCCTCGCCACCCTGGGCAGCTACAGCGCAGGCGTGCCCCGCCCGGCCGGTGACCTCCCACCCTGCAGCCTGCAGCCTCCCCTGCCTTTCGGCGCTTTGTGTCTTTTCATGACCCGTCCCCCCCCCACCCCCCGACTGACCTCAGTGTTTGCTGTCAGCTCTGTCATCTGTCAAGGTGTTTGCCACAAGCTCCAAGAGAGCGGGGACTGTTCCCGCTGAAGGAGGTGCGCCCCCATCGGGACAGCGGCTGCTCAGTGAATTAGGCAAACTCAGTAAACTCGAGTCTGCGTCACCGCGTGCGATCTGCACAGGGTACCAGGAGAACAGCGAGGCAAGAAGCTATTCCGCTCTGGAGGCTTCCGTCTTCCCCAAGGAAACCACGTCCCTGCTGGAGTGTCAAGAAGGTGACACCCAAATGAAGAGGTGCCCACCCTGGCTATGCCGTTTCCCCCAAACAAGCAGGCTGCCCCCGCAGCCACCTCCTCCCTCTGTGAATCGAGGCCCCCCACGGCCTCCTCCCAGAACCTGCCCGGGCCCCACGCAGACCACGCCAGCCCCGCCCACGGCACCCTGGCCACATCATGACCGCTGAGGTTGGCTGCCGGGGGTGTGTCTGGGCTCCCCGGGCACAGAGCCAGACGTCCCCTATTCCACTATCCCATCCCTGCACTGGGCCTCAGGTGCTTCTAGAAAACTCACAGAAGGCTGGATCTCAGCTTGTAACCTTAGCACGGAGCCCCGAGGGCCCCACAGAACGAGCCTCTGCAGCAGGGAAGCTCCGGATCTTCATCCCATTTCAGCCCGAGAAGTGTCACTTCCCTCTGAGGTTCGGTAATGGGTCGAATGGTGGCCCCCGAAAGGTGTCCAAGTCCTAATGCTGAGAACCTGTGACTGCGACCCCATTTGGAAAAAGGGCCTATGCAGATGGAATCAAGTTAAGGATCCCGAGATGAGGCTATCCTGGATTTAGGACGGGCTCTAAATCCACTGACATGCATCCTTGTAAGAGAAAGGCACAGGGAGATCTGAGACACGGAGGAGCTGGCCAGGTGACAGCAGACGCAGAGACTGATGCTGCCCTGAGCCTCGGAACACCTGAGGCCACCAGAAGCTGCTAGAGGCAAGGATGGACCCTCCTCTGGAGCCTTCCGAAGGAGCACGGCCCTACCCACACCTGATCTCAGACTTCTGGCCTCAGAACTGTGAGAGAATGAATGTATGTTGTTAAACCACTCTGTTTCCAGTAATTTGTGCCAGCAGCCCCAGGACACTTGCACAGGACCACTGGACAGAGGAAGCCTCCGGGCTGCAGGGTGGTCAAGGGCCCCTCCCACTAGTGCTGTCACCACCCTCCACCCGGCCCCAGTCCAGAGCTGCTCATGGGAGTGTAAAGGAGCCAGAGCTGCCTCCTTTTCCCTTTTCTGGAGGCACACAAAAAACCCAGATGGTTGGAGAAGTCGTCAGGGGAATAACATCACTCTAGATGTACACTGGAATATTTGGCAACGAACACGATCGTATTCCAAGGCAGGCTCTGCAAAGGACGCCCCCTGTGCAAATGCCTCCCCAGGGAGGATGTCATGAGTAGCACCCAGCCGGGAAACATCAGGAGACACTTGTCATGAGGCAGGCAGGACAGGGTCCTCCGGCATCTCCTCCTCCATCAGTGTCCTAAAGATACGGCCAGGTCCTGTACTCACACGCACAGCCACCCCTCCCTTCCCAACGTGAAGATCCCGCCACCACCCCGACGGGGCCGTCGGAAGTACGGAAAGATTTATGTACCAGGATGTTTGCATCAGCATTAAAATCACAAACACTGGACACCATCCAGGTTTACGTAGATTTTCTAAACCCATATGCCAAAGGCCTGCGTCATCATCAAAATCACATTTTGGCAGATGAGAAATGCTGAGAATATTAAGTAAAAATAGCAGGATACAAGATGCATACATGATCCTAATCCCATTTCATACACACATGTGCAGTTTGCACGCACACACGCGCTCTGCATGGAATGACGGTGGGTGTTGCATTGCACGAAATTTCCCGCCTTGTTTCGAGATACCTGTGCTAAATGTGGGTCACTTCATGTTTTCAGGGAATAAAACAATTGACACTTTCGTAAAAATGCACCTTGCTCGAACAAGCTCGAAGGTGTGGGTAACTGCACGCCAGCCCCTCCCCACTCCCAGGAAAGAGTCTCTGGGCCTCTCCTGTCCTCAAGCACCTACAGTGTCAGCAGCTACACAGAGGCAGAGCGGGGCCTCCCTCCAGATGCAAACCTTCCTGTCCGTGACCAGGGGGGGCTAAAGCAGGAGCAGCCTGGATCTGGGCCTGTTTAGGGAGGAATGTGCCGTGTGCACAAGGGACCATTGTTAGGGGCCCGCTCTGACCGCAGGCTGCCAGGCAAACTGCTCCCAGCTCCTGAAACCAGATCGAGCACTTCCTGGTGTGTTCCGAGGTCTGGGGAGGGCATACCAGGCGAGCCACAAAGCCCTGCTCTAGCCTAGGACAAATGTCATGCAAAGAAATGCTCTTTGCTAGAGACCGAGGCACGTGCAGC